AACCTGTAGGTGTGCTGGGGATTGCCATGGGCCAGCTGTAGGACCTTGCACTTCATTTTGTTAAACTTCTTGGGGTTTGCATCGGCCCACCTCTCGAGCCTGTCAGGGTCCCTCTGGATGGGATCCCTTCCCTCCAGCATGTCGACTGCCCCACACAGCTTGGTGTCGTCAGTGAGCTTGCTGAGGGTGCACTCAAACCGACCCCTGAGGGACACCACTCCTCTCTGGCCTCCATGTGGACACTGAGCCACTGACCACAACTCTCTGTGTGCGACCATCCAGCCAGTTCTTTATCCATCGCGTGGTCCACCCATCAAATGCTCTTGTTTTTGAATGCAGTTCTAATGCAAGAATGGAAAACAGAATGAGAGATATGCATTAAATGCTTTTAAATGTAGGGGGTTTTCCTAGCATCGTATTTTGTAATGAACTCATAAAATGTTTTTCCATTTTGTGGTAAATTGTTTGCTTTTTTCCCAACAGCAAGTTCCATAAGAATTCTTTTTCCTGTAATCTAATAAACAATTTGATGTGGATACCGTAAACTTAGCTCTATGTCGCATTCCTAAAGGTAACAGTGTAGTTATCCCTTACTTGATGAGAATGTTGAGTTTGTTCACTGTTGTAAACCACTTAAGATAGTGTTACCCACAGCACCTACTTGGCCTCTTTTGACCTTGATCATAAGGCTACAGAGAGAGATGTGAATTTTATAGTTGCAAATTAGATTAATTGATTATAAGGTGTTAAAGGGAGAAGGGGAAAATTGGAAGCTAGTGTAGTGTTTTTATAGTAAAAACTATTAGCAGTCCTGAAGGGGGTAAGATAAATGTTCAAATTACACATTGAAATAATGAATTAAACCTACAGAGGTGAGAATGGAATTATGCAGACCTGTTATGGTGGTTTACCTCTGAGTGGCATCTAAGTCCCATGCAGCCTCTCACTGACTTGTATCAAAGGGAGAACTGGAAGGGTAAATGTGTGAGAACTTTGGGTTGAGATCAAGACAGGTTCACAGGCTCACTGCCAGGTGCCCAATGGCTAGCCAGTCCCCAAGGAGCAATAGGCAGACTGCACACACACATTTTTTTATTGCTGAGCATAACACCATATGGCATGGTGTATCTATGTGGTCAGCTGTCCCAGCTGTGGCTCCTCCCAACTCCATGTGTACCCCCAGCCTGCTCACTGCTGGGATGGGGTGAGAAGCAGAAAAGGCCTTGATGCTGTGTAAGCACCTGAATTATCAACAGTGTTACAGTGTTTCCAGCACAAATCCAAAACATAGCACCATACAACCTACTGTGAAGAAAATTTGCTCTAACCCATCCAAAACCAACAAAGGTCTTAGACCTTTCAGAGATTTCTTTGAAATTATGATGGTCTGGGGAAGCGTAGATGAAATGGAAAATTATATTGAAACATAATACATGACTCATTTTATCTGCTTTATGGAACAGCCGATGCATACCATTGTAAATTGCAAAATAATGCATCCCTTTGATCTAGCTTCTGTGTGCAAAAGCCACAAGTATTTGCATTAATTCTGTGATAATAGTTGTATGAAGAGGTCTTCTGGAGCTGTGTGTGAATGTGAGAGTTCAGGAGGGATTTATTGTGTCATTTCTGCTGCACTTTATTTAAAAGTGCTAAGTATACCCCAATTAGTTCCATTTTAGGACACTTAATCCTTTCAGTACCATGGAATAATCTGTTTTCCACAGTAATTCTGTGTTTACGTTATAGATAACACAGAGTAAAATCTGAAATCTGTAGTCCTTCTCTACGGTCTTTTTCTTCTGTTCCAGCATCTTATATGCTCTTTTCCTTCCCAAAATGAATGGTAATGGTGAGATAATAGGCTTTTTCAGCTCATGGATCCTCTCCTTTGCAGTTTTGGTTGTGTATTTGGAGAGAGGCAGAGCAAAACAAGGAAGCAGCCCATATTTTCAAGCCTGTCTTCAACTTCCTTTTCTATCTGGTATTTAGTTTTGTTGAGATTACGTTTTCCCATTTAAAAGAATGTATCAATAAGTGCTCTGGTTCATTTGTCTGTAACAGATTGTTTATCTAGCATGAGAATTGTTAGTTACCTTTATTATAATCTGGTTTTCTGCTGATAATACTCCTTGAGTATTTGTATGCTTCCGGCTGGATGTGGTTGTTATATGACCATGAAATTCTTCTGTGATTAACTTGTGTATCGGCATGGAGAGCAGACAGAGCAATCAGACAGCGAAGGAAATTAGGTTTTCTCTGTTCTCAAGGGTAAAAGTAAAGTTCAAGTCTGCTGTCTACCTCATTCACAGTAATAGTACATGTGCTTATCTGCCCTTAAAAATATTTTAGTCTTCTAAAATAATTGATGTCATCCACTATAAAAACCTTTCTTTCTATTGAACATAGATTATAAAAATCCATACTTCCACGTTAATAGACTTAGTCAGTGCTGCTTAGAATGGTAGTAACATTTAATTGGGTTGACACTTACATAAGCTTTTTCCTTCGACTCAGTTTTTTGGGTTTAGTTGGAAGCTTCAAACTTCGAAGCTGTTTGGCAGTTTTATCTGTTGGTTGGTCATGTTGTTTCTTGGACAGACTTCAGAGCATCTCAGGGAGCAGAGCTCCTGGGTGGGAATGCTAAGGTGGAAAGTAAAACAATGAAAGACTGGAAGATGCTGGAAGGGAGGTAGAGAGTTTCTTCTCCTTCGTGTTGGTCAGGAATTTTTCTTCAAGCAAGTAAATGGATTGAGCATCATAACCTGGGAAGAAGGCATACTTTCCTGAAATTTTGCTGACTGTAAGTCTTACTGTTGTTACACATTGAGGAATATTGAATATCTGGAATATGGATTTTGTTTTTTCATGTTTTGTCTATGTTACGATCCACTTAGTGAGAGTTGCCTCTGCCCCAATTTAAGGTGCTAACATTGACCATATGTCAAAGTCAATAATATATTAATAATGTGGGGTTTATTTAATTACAAATGTGAGGTGGAGAGATAGAAATAGGAAAGAGAGGGGGGAGAGAGAGAGAGAGGGAGAGTGAATCACTACCTGTGAATCCAGCAGCATCCTGTTGGTCCTTCTTCACCTTGGGCTTCTCGATGGTGGAAGTCCCGTGTCATTTTTCTGGTGGTGGGGATCCCGAGTCATGCTTTGGGGGGGGGGGGCTTCCAGGTTGTTCATCTGGGAGTACCAGCTTTATGCAGTCCAAATCCTGGGTATTCGTGGAGGTGGATTCCTTATTTCCATGCGAAGCAAGGGTGGGCCTTGCCTTCATTTACTTGCTTTGTCGGAGTGAGTGGTTGCAGGTATCTCCTGTCCTGGGTGATCTTTGACCAGCGATATGTATATGCAGTTTGCCACAGTGGGAATTTTTGTGTAGATATGTTAGTCAGGATATGCTAACCAGATGTCACCTCCACCAGGCCTGGAATTTGCACAGACTCATCTCTTTCGTGCTTATCTCAAGTTGCCACTGCGGTGGCTAGCGCGTCTTAGAGTGAATCCCTTTTGTGGCCTTAACAGTGTTTGAGACAGACAAGGTATTCTTTAATTCCTTACAGTCTATTCCTGGGTAACACTGATTTGAACAACTTCTGGACATGTTGTTTCTTGGATGAAGCACTGACCTGCTAACCTTGGGCTTACCTGGGGGTAAATACGAATGTCGGCCATATCAGAAAGAGTATGTAGATTTTAGGTTGATGTGCAGTCCTTATGATCACTTTTCTTGATGTTGGGCAAGTCTTTTAGTAAACATATTTGCTACTAGTGATTTATGATGAAACACCGAACTTGGGAATCTGCATTAGATAAGTGAAGTATGGCTGTGTGAAGTGGTAAATGAGGGACAGGACACAGATGAAATGTGCTTTTGCTGCATGGGAGCTTAGTTAGAAATATTACATTGGTGTGGTTTTTTGCATGTTTGAACAGGACTCAATGTTAGAATAGATTTCCTGACATGATTTCTTAAAACACACACGCATATTATATATATTCACCCTTAATCCCGTACATCTTATTTCAAGAATGATTCCTATAACATTGGAAAACCTAGGCTTTATGTAACTCCCTGTCATTTAAGCATGTGAAATGACTAAAGAATACAGACAAGACTACTTAAAATTGAATGTTTTCTAATATTAGTTTCAGAAAATCAAATTATGAAAAAATATATTGTAATAAAAATTACTTAGTGTCTGTCAAAAGCATTAAACTGTTAGTCCTTCTGTTTTATGTATTTTAAAACAGTGTGAAATAGAGGTGATACAGACTTTTTTTTCCTCTCCTCTAGTCATTACTATGGTATCTAACACTGTTTAAAACCAGAGATGATAACTGGTGGTTAAGATTTCATATAAGAACCAGTAGTGGTGAGTTGGTTGGGGTTTTTGTCTGTATAATCTGCATTTAACAAGCAGTATGTACCTTATGTCCTTTATGGATAAATTAATAGTTCTGATAATATTTGTGTTCTCCTCATTTCTGTATACGTGAGCTGTGAAAAGAACTTGCCAGTGTCTTGGCAGAAACATTCCAGGGAAGGGGTGTTTAACTTGCATGACTGGATGCAAATTTAAGCATTCAGTTTTGAATATAGATTTGTAAAGTAATTTTGATACAGTTCACAATCAATGCAGGTGAAGAGTAGAAATACTTATGAAACTGCTTGTAAACATGTATTTTCGGTTTTATACTAATCCTGTTTTCAAATGTTTGCCTAAATAGTTCTGCTTTCCAGTAATTTTCAGTTATTTAATTTTATATTTGTGGTTATGGTACCATTTCTATAACTATGCCTTTGTTTCATTTTACAGAGGAAATAAAGGCTGAAACAGAAAAGCAAAGGTAGGTGGTAGTTCATTGTATTAAGTGATAGTGCTTTAACATCTGAAAATGTGTACCCTGCTTATTGTGCACTGGGATTATGGGCTCTCTCTGAAAAGCATTTTGAACGTATTTTGATGGTATCTGGAAACGTGCTGATGGTGCTCCTTCTGTGTCTGGCACCCCTAGTGCAGGGCACTGGGCCTGGGAGTAGAGGCAGAAGATAGCTTGGAGGGAGCAGGCTGGTGCGGTCTAGCCAGGGAGGGTAGGAATGGGGATCAGGGTTAGAAAAGGTCTTTGTGGATGGCACAGAAGGAAAGTTTTGGTGGAGGGGCCTGAGCTTAAAAGGCTCTTGAAGCTTGTCCAGGGGGGGATGCCGATAAAAGATTTGAACTGTGAGTGAGCAAGGGGAGGAGATTAGGGTGAGGAAGTAGGAATGAGCAGAGAAAACCAGCGTAATTTGAAAAGCCGGTGTCTGGAAAGAACCTTGTTAAGGAATAGGTGTAGATTTCTGAAGGTGTTCTTCTACAAGAGAAGGTAGAAGGAAAAACTGACATTCAGCACTTCTGCTATCAACAGGTTAATTTTTAAGTACTGGTAAACTGTGGAATCCCTTATTACTATTTAATTACATGTTCCACTGGATCTTCTTCCTCGTGCAGTGTATGTTACATTGGGTCAGGGTTGTGTAGTAAAGACTGCTTATACCACTTGCTGAAAGAATCAAATCAGCAGGTTAAACTGATGATGAAAGTGTTCATATGGCTTAAGAGATGAGTGCTGCTTGGGGACCCGAGTTCTGTCCTGTAATTGAATTTCTGGTTTGGGCAGATCATTTAAACCACAGCTGTCAGAATTGGCTGCTAGTGATTTCTGCTTCATCTCCTGGATATTTGAGCTGAAATCTACAAGTTTTGGTTTGGAAAACATCAGCACTTCTAGCTGGGAAGAAAGCCAGGAGGAACTGGTTTCAGAAGATGTAAAGGAAAGCTTAATATCAAATATGCTGAAAAATGTAGTCTTGCAGTCTATCAAATTGAGCACATAGAACTTAGTGGGTACATCTGACTGAGGCTGTGCTTCACTTTTCACCAGCAAAATAAAGTCAATACCATCATGTCATAGTAAGATTGTAAAAATAAATTTAATATTTGTGTAGTGTTCAGAAAATGTTGCATCGAGCACCACAAGAGAGTCTCAGACAGTAAGTAGTAATGTGGATTTATAAGTTTTTTCTTAAAGTAGTATAAATGAAGCAGAAGTGCACATTGTGAGGCATGGTAAGAAAAAAATATGTGAAACATTCAGTAAGTGGTATTTGTTCTGGGCACTGAATATGAAAGGTAGTATCTCACCCTGTAGTTAAATACCATCCTAAAGCTAATTAGAGCACTGAATTATAACTATTTCTGCAAGTATGGCTCAGCCATTTCTGCACTTCAGGTACTTAATTTCTGTCCTATTAATGTCCGAAATTGTGATTTTTTTGTGAGGGTAGAATGTGTATGTCTTACATGCATACCTACACACAATTTCTAAGTAGATTTCGATTTCTTCAGTGCTGTCTTTATTTTGACAGTAGCCTTTTGCTGCTATGAAGGCACTGCTGGACTTGGAAACTGTGAATGGGCTTCTTTATTCTTACTGCAGAGTCAGGTTTTTTAGGTGCAGTAGAAAATACCATTTTTCTAGGCCTTAGAATAGAGAAACTTCTTAGTTTATCAAATTATTTTCAGATTCGTATTTCTGTAATTAGTAATACCCTAACAAGGTATTTAGAAACTATGATTTTTAAAAATTTTTCCAGTCCCTGTTCAAGGTAACTAATCTCACAGTTAGCTTGGAATGCATTGAAAAATAGATAATTTCCACCTTCCAGAAATTTTGCATGGAGAACTGCTTCTTTTGTTTTGTTGGGTTTTTTTAGCAGAACTAGTATTTGGTAGTGGGGTGGAGGGGAACGGAATAGAAAAGTATAGGCCGATTTATGTAGCCATTACACAGCAAATGCTGCCAAAATAATTTTCAAAATTCATTGTTTGATATTTACCTTAGCCTTTTTCGATGGCTGATATGTAAGTATCAGTGTATTTCATAATTCTCATGCTTGGTAGGTGCTAGAGTTTTGCTGGGGTTAGTTTTTGGGTTTACAGTGTGCTGGGAAAAAACCCCAACAAAACAACAATCCAACAGAAGTAATTCGCTGTTATTAGGAGGAAAAGTACTTTAGAATTTCTCTTGTCTCTGCTATCCTTCCCTTACATCATCAACTGTGTGATGAGCTTATTGAGTTATTTTTCCAGAGACAAATGTGCCTCATCTTTCATATTTAATATTTTGCTTTTTTTAAATAGCTTTCCATTAAGAGAAGCTCCGGGCTTCTGCAGTACCTTGCTGTGGCATGGGTTCTTCATTTTCACAATCTCATCACAGCCTGCTCCTTGTTTCTGAACAATTCTGGGGTTATTTCTGTCGTGCTCTTTTTAACTTAATTTTAGTGCTTTCAGTAGACATAATCACTAGATGAGGAACAGTCTTGTCATAAGACGTAAGCAAGAGATAAGCACCCTTCCATTCCTCAGAGAAAAGCTTTTATAGGAATTTCAGAGAGGTTTAGGAACATGGAAGAATCATGTGCTTCCTCTGCAACTTATCTGATTGGGGTTTTGTTCAAAAGAGCTCTGCTTCCAGCAAAATAATATTGGGCAATAAATGAAGTTGTGCATCCAACAGAAAAAAACCCAACTCTGCTTTTCTTCAGGACAAAAATGTGGGGATAAAAAAATTCTTAGATTTTCAAAAGAGAAGTTATTTAGGAGAAACGAACATCCTATCACTAATTATTCACTATTAAGACTTAGATTTAGGTGCCCTTTTTAAGCAACCTAAACAAGGTCTGTTGGAATGTGGTGCCAAACATCATCTCAAGGGCAACCCAGCTTGCTCCTTGAAAAGCTGAAGGTAATTTGTATTGATTAGGTTAAGGCTCACTCCATGATGCATGGAACTGCAATAATTCTTTGGATTTATAATAAACTCTCAGCAGTTCATTCTTCTGCTTCAGGAACATGAAATTGAACGCATTCCTTGAAGCATCTGATTTAATTTGCAAAAAATGCCGAGGGCCTGGATTTGAATATAATAGTTCTATAAAGATCTATTTGAATTGCTGCAAGAATCGTGTGATTCTTCACTACTGAGTATGACATTATATGCTTTTTTTAAATACTGTTTATTGAGTCTGTGTAAGACAGTGTAGTTACCTCTTATGTAAAGATACCTATGTGTGCACAAAAAAAGGTTCAGAAATGCTTTATATATTCTGTACAATAAAAAGTTTTAACATCTTGCTTTGAGCCAAAGGCAAATTGTATCAATGCACACAAATTAGTGAAAAATGACCCATTCTTAATTATCCTTTTTTGCTAAGTATTAATGAGCATGACCTTTCTAAAGCTGCTGTAAGCAATGAGACTTCAACATCATTTTCTCAGCTTTTGTACAGTTAGTCATTTCAGATACTTTGCTCAAGTGAGATACATTGGTAACCAGTGAACTCTTAAATTCTGTGGTGTCACTTGAAGCAGAGATAGGGTAAAGCTTTGGGGGTTTTTGTTTTGTTTTGTTAGTTTATTTGATTTTTTTGTCACTGAGTATGTCCAGGATTGAAGTTCAGATATGATTTGTGATTTCAGATATGATTTAATCTCCAAAATAGATGTACTGTCCATGAAGTACTGAACTGAACTTGTAGTATAATACAGTACTTGAGTAGCTCTTAACTTTCAGGGTTATAAAAATTTTTGGCAAGTTGTATTTTTATTTGTTCTAGTAGTAACAAACTAGACATCTCTGAGTTGTCATTTAACGTGGAAATGGTACTGAATAGATTTCCTTTCTTCCCCTCTGCCTTCACCATTCCAGGAAGGGGAGTATTTTCCTGTTTCAGAAGACACAAGTCTTTGTGCCTTCAAACCAGCAGGGACCACTGAATATCCACTTAGTGTGCAAATGGATCTATTTGCCTGATCCATAAAGAAGACATGAAGTATTAAAGCTGTTAAGAGTATTTTACATATTACAGTTACGTTAACTTCATAGAAGTCTTTCTTAATGTTAATAGTCTTTCCTAATGTTAATTTTTTTGATATTTTAGTTTGTTCATAAACACTGTGGTGCTGAGAATTACATGTGTGATCACTTACAGCATTCTAATACGGTCATTCTGTTTAGTCCCCCTCATGGAGAAGCAAAGTCTGGTTCAAGCACTCTTCCACCTGTGAAATCAAAGACAAGCTTCATTGAAGCAGACAAATACTTCCTGCCATTTGAATTGGCATGCCAGTCCAAGTGCCCCAGGATTGTCAGTACATCTCTAGATTGTTTACAGGTCTGTATGAAGATGAGCTTTAACTATCAGCTGTAAAATTCTGTTGCTTTGGAGGGGAAGTGTAGTTGTATGTAACAAATAATGTCATGAGGGTTTTATTATTTTAATTTATTGTGCACACAACCAAATAGAACATATTTCTCACAAAAAGTGAATGTATGCCTTATTTATTATGCAATGCATGTATGTGTTTCTTTGTGTATATAGGTATTACCACAGTGAAATGTTTGGATTAGTTTTGTTATAGACAGCTACCTGTTTTCATGTGTTTAAATATGTGTTGAACTAACACAGCAGATATAGAATTAGCAAATTCATTTTATGCTGTTTATAATTGCAGTAAAATATTTTCAATTTGAGATGTCTAGTCTCTCAAAACTCTGAGGCCCCTTGAATGTTTTCAGAACAAATTCTGGAGCATGGAATTTAGCCATTCACTTCTCCTGATGAGCTCAGCAGTAAACTCAGTTTACAGTCACAGGCACATGTGTGCCTGGCATGCACTTGCACTGTGATGCTTTGCTGCTCTGTGTATTTTGCAGTAGGTGAGCCATGGAGATTTACGTGTACTCTTATGCCTGAAGTCTTCAGAAGAGGATTTTACTAATTTTGTAATAAATTCCATTTCTAAGTATTGAAGACCTAGAGAAAGAAAGGGATAATAGAACACTTAAAAACAGAAGAAACACTTTAGCTAGTAGCTTAAACAGAAAGCATTTGCAGCTGGTTTATCTGATGTTAAAACCATTTGTGTGTTGACTACATCTGAAGACTTGTGTGATGTGAGTTAGTTTTCAGAATCCTGTTTGTTTTAAAGCATGGATAACTGATGAACAAAACCTTTACTGTTAAGCTGGATGACTAACTTTGTATAGCAGCTTCTGAATGAAAATAGAATAAATCTGAAGGACAATTAAAAAAAAATCCTGGATGTTTTATGAGACTTGGGGTAAAATGTACTGTTTATTATTCTGTGCAAGTCAAGAGCTATCAAGTCAAATTATTTATTATAACAAAAAGTTGGCTTAGTTTTTAAATTCTACCTTATTTATGTGGGTTTTTCTCTTCTCTTCTCTCCAGAAACTTATAGCGTACGGGCACTTGACAGGGAATGCTCCAGACAGTACAGCTCCAGGCAAAAAATTAATTGATAGAATTATCGAGACAATATGTGGCTGTTTTCAAGGCCCTCAAACAGACGAAGGGGTTCAGCTACAAATAATAAAGGTAACATGTTTAATATTTCCTGTATTTATAGTGGTGACAGCAGAAGACATTTGTGACTTCAGAGTTCAAAAGCAGAAGTGTTTAATTTGTAAATGTAATGGCAATATTAAAATATTTTCTTGATCCCGTTTCTCTTGAGACAGAAAATTCCTATCCTATGTTCCTTTCCCTAATCTCTCCCACCTCATTTTGGGTGAACTCATGGTTGCGACCTCAAGTCTTGTGCACAGACCAGTGGGTGATATTTTGTTCACCGCAGACCTGTGGAGCCTCTAATTGTGCCTCCTCTAATTGTGAGGAATTACTGTCAAACAATCCTGCACTCCCAGTGGGGGAAATGGTAATTAAGCAGCAGATTTTGAAATCCATTTGGAATTGGTTGATGAAATGCAATTAGACCTGGCAGTTGGGTGTTACCATGGTAGCTTTTTGCTGCTGTGTCATAGACTTTTGCTTGCAGGAAGTCTAGGGTTTCTTTCCGTAGCTTACATAAAAGTTGCATGTGGAGTCTGTACAAATAAGTGTTTCTGGGGAACCTGTTTTCTGATTGTTCCCCATAATTATAGGTATTTATTACAGCAAATTATTGTGCCAAGTGCTAGAAGTTAGCCACCTACTGGAAATGGCATACTCTGCTACTGTGATGATGACAGTAGTGAAGGATACAACTGAAGTTAGTTATGAGAAATGGAGTGTTCTTGTGTATATGTATCCTGAGGTGTTGGCTTTTCTTGCAGATTGTGTTTGCTTGTTTTACTGCAAAGAATGTAGTTTGTTCTCCTTTCCATAGCTCAAATCTTTCTTGTTCTTTGTGCTCCACTTCTCCAGCAAATAGTTATTACAAATGTTGGTTCATGCTGCTGTTTTCTAGATTTGTTGTTTTGTTTTGCCCAGCATTTGTGATGTTTTTCATCCTGCAAGGGGAAGTTATTACTGATTTAAACTTTCAGTGGCTGAAACTATTGTATCTCCCTGTCACTGGAATACTGTCTCTCTGAATGCTTGTTTATTCCAGTCCCCCCTGCCTGAATGGGCTTATGTGTGACCTGATGTTCTTTCTGTCCAAGAAAATAGTTCAGAAAATAAATTCTTCAACAGCTGTAAAATGCATTAAGTGTATACATTCATTTAGTGCCTTTATTTTTTTACTGTTTAGATTTAGCTAATTGCCATGTTGGAATGCCTGGAAAAGTGGAAAGTACTGTTTTGAGTTTGGCACCATCTTTGTCCAATACACCGGACACTATGAAGAACATGAAGATTAGAAGTAACATTGACAAAGACCAGAGCTTTTGACTTTGGAGGAATAATGGGACTGCAAAGTCAGTTCTATTCCCTTAGGCTTCATAGCTCTTCAGTTCTGAGCTCAGTGTGCACCCTGCTTCTGCAGTATGATTTGAAGGATGGATCATATATCTTTTCAGGTTCTTCTGTGGTCCTGGTGATGAGTATGTTGTCTGAATTTTAATTCCATCAGGGAGAAAGAAGGCAGGGGACCCAAATCTCCTCCTTTTTTTGTGCTGCCACTCCCAGGCTGTTATCTGCAATTTAAGCAGTGCTCCCAGAGGGCAGCTGCATCACCAGGACCATGGTAAAAGCTGAGAACCTTGATCACTTGGCCACCTTCCTTCTTGGAAGGTGTTCTTGGTTCTGCATGTGGAATGGGTGGCCCTTATATAGTGTGCAGCCCTCAGTCTGGGATCTGGGAGTCTTCATTGGGTAGGAGTTTACATGCACTGCTGTTTGTAGTTACTAGATAGCTTTCCAGTGGTAGAGTCATCTTCAGATGGTTCACAACAACCAGAGCCACTTAGATGTTCTGAAAATACCTTTCTGCTGACTACTGAGGAAATAATCTTGCTGACACCAAGGGGAATAATTTGTCTTTTTTTAGGTATCTAAGCTTAGAGGCATGTCTTGCAGACATTTTGACAGGGGCTGGTTTAACTTTTCTGCTCCTATTTCTGCTTGCATCTCATCTCTGTAGTCCCACTGTTCTTCATCTACAGACTCTGTGATGAACCAGACTAGGAAATTGCCCTTTTCCTTCCTTTCTCTTGTAGTTTGGGTTGATTTGGTGTAATTTTGATGTGAAGCCTTGCAAATTTCTTGTTTAGATGTTATGATTGGAGTGATTGTTGCAGAAAAAAAGTCAAGTAATTAGACTACTGCTGTGATTGCAAATGGTTTATTCAAATGGTGTTTGAAATAGCCTCCCTTGATTGAACCTTTTTGCCCCCAGGCTTGTCCTCCTAGGGCTACTATGGCGACTATGTGGTGTCCAAGTGCAGACTTCTCGTAACAGTTGCAGGGGTCTTAGTTGAAGTTCTGTTTACATTTCTGTCTGGCCTTTCTCTTCCTGAAGAACTAAATTATGACAAAAATTATTTTTATTTTAAAAATCTATAAATAATAGGGGTGAGGAAGAAGGATGGGACATGATATCAACTGTTTATCCTCATCTGTGTTTTCTTTCCTTGCTCTGCTGAGTGTATGGAAAGTATTCATTATTGTCTGCATGCTTTTACAGCTTAACTTGCTCATGTTTGTTCAAGAAAAATTGTGTGCTCTTGACAGCTGTAGTCTGAAGAGTAGAATGCTGTTTAGTGACTTTCTGAGTCTTCCATTTGCAGTTGACTGTTCATAAGGTCAACTCCTGTATGGTCACACCTACAGTATGACTGGTGCCCATGGAGGAAGGAAAGTTGAATCAAACATTGCTTACACAAGTCACATTTTGAAACTGACTGGAAATGAGGACAACTCATTGCTGGATTACAGAATGGGAAAACTGTAAAAGCTAACTGATTCTGAGTAATAAGGCAAATGATGATATGGTCAAAAGATAGATAACAAAATTTGTGTGAAAACAGATTCTGAATTGAGAAGACCTTTAGAACTGCTTTAGTTCCAGGTCCTGTTATGTTTCAGTAGTGTGGAATGTTGTCTAAATAACTTAGTCATCTGCAGTATCATGTGGTAATGTGATTATTTTTTCCTATTAAAAGTCTTAAGAAAATTTAATTTCTCCTGCTGAGATTAGAAGGAGCTGTGGATTATGGAATGCTTTGAGAATGGAAACAATGATGTAAGAGGTTTTGCTTCGAAGTATTTGGATTTTGAGGCTTAAGTTAATGACTGGGTCTCCTTACTTTACCTGAAAGTGCTCTCCTGTCAGTTGCAATTTTATTTTTTAGAGAAGGATTATGTTTTCAGAGTTGGATATGAAATATTTGTGTCACAAAATATTTATCTGTTTAATTCCATATTAGACTCTAGTTCATTTTGAACACCTACATTTCCAGTGTTAAAACTGAATAAAATTTTGTTCTTATATAATTTATATGCTTTATATTATCTTTCATAGGACAAACTGGAATATAGTTCTGATCTGTCTTTCATTCACAAGCTTCATAATCCCTCTGAGTTTCAGGGATGGTAACTAACCACATGTTTGTGAATATAGATTTATTTTTTTTCTAAACTTGATGTTAAGTAGATAAAAAATACTAGTTTGAATCAAATACTGCGTGTTAATTAATGACCCAGTAGTACTGAAATCTGGCATTGAATCTAAGATATGACACTGTTGATTTTAATCACTGGAGAGTAAAAGCATGCTGGAAGCAAACACTGTATTTTTCTGGTTTTCATAACCTTACAGTGTATTTCTGTAGGTCTTCAAAGTTGGTAAACTAAGTTAGGCAAACTTAGATGTTTTAAGGCAACGCTAAATGTGTACCATAAATGACTGAATAATATGAAAATAGTAAAAAGCAAAAGATAAAATTATCACTTGCTCACAAAGAAAATGTTGTTTGGAAATATATTACTGCATTCTGTATGATTTATATATTTGGTGTCACTTATATTGCAAAGTGATTTATCTATGAAGGTTTTTTGATGTATATGTTGCTTTGTGGTTTAAGGGCTTCACTTTCTTACGTTTTTTTCCAAAGTCAGTCCATAGTAACTCATTATTTTCTGATAAGTAAATGTTTGGACTGCAAGTTAGCTTTAAAAGAAAAATTATTATTTAACATAACCCTGTAGCCCCTCTCAAAGAAAATAGTTTCCAGTAGCTGATTAACCCTAGAGAGAGAAGTTAGGGCTGTTGTGTTTTATGTGCTGTGTCAAGTACTTGAGATTTTCCAGACAACTGAATTATGAGTATTTTACCCAAAGTAAGCCCGTGCTGATCAGATGACAGCTGTACTGTCATAAATCTTCCACAGATAAGATGATCAGAGTTGGCTGAGAGGAGGAAAAGACTGACTCTGAGTTGTTCTCCTGATTGTAGTTATGTTCTTTCACTGTAACCATGCTGTTCTTGCAGAATATTCGGTGTGAGAGGAATGTAAAGTTTAGAGGTAAGACAGATGCTGGATATTTTTAGTGGAGAATTATTGTTAATTTAGTTCACTTTTAAAGTTACATTCATTTTGCCTCACAAAGTGTGATATTCCCTGAGGCAAACATGCTTCAGGCTAAAAGAAAAATCACTGTGGGTGTCACACGAAGATATGATAATCTGTAACTCAAGAAATGATCCTGAAGATTTTTCTCCTTTCTCAAAGCCGTCTGATGGATGTTTATAAAAATGAGTAAGCTTTATTTATAGTAACTAGGTAGAAGCCCAGAACAGTAGGGTCTTTCTCAAATACAGAACAATAGGTGTGAAGGACTGGAAGGAAAGCATAAGGAAACAAACACAAAGTTGGGGTAGAAGCCAGGAGTTTCAGGACAAGTAAGGCTTGTTGGCTGTTGGTATTTTTGCAGACTTTGTGACAAAGAAAACTTTTGTGGAAGGACCTGAAGTATAATGAGGTAGTGCTAAGAGTGTTTTTTTAAGAAGCTTTCCTTCTGTGCCTAAAGAACAGCTAAAGGGAGGAGTACAGTCAAGTGGGCTTTTTTTCCTTTATTCATCTCTCCTTAGCTTACACTGAAGATATTGGATGAAAACAGATGAGCTAAGTGTGACCAGGAGTGGGAACTCAACTGCAAAAAGCCTTGAGCAGCAAATCTTTACTCTTTAGAGAAGAGCAATATAATGCTGTGACTCCTTAGCAGTAGCTTGCTGTTCCAACCTCTGCAGACTTAGTCCTACTGCATCCCTTGTCTTAACATGCATTTAATACTCTGAATCAACTAAATCACTTGTAAAGCAAACAAATAGGACCACAAAACCAGCCACCAGAGAACCACCTGTGGGTGTTATTTTTTCTGTTTGGTTTGGATTGTATTGATGTGTTGCAATTAAAATAGCACAGGTGGCTCCATGCCCCAGACCTGTTGCAATGTAGGCAGTAAGAGTGTATGGCTATGGGGAAGGTGGGACTTCCCTTGTTCCACCGCTCAAGGATGTTCATTCTTGTGTAGCAGTTTGGGATGTTGTATAAAGCTGCTCAGCTGGGGACTTGTTTAGCTTGTCGTCTACTCTGTCTCCCCTCTCTTCTTCCTTGCACTGGGCATAGTAGTTGCTTGATCAGAGAGTAGGGCTGGGGAGTAGCATGAAGAAAAGTAATAAGGTGAGAAAGGAAGGGTTTGTTTTTCTAACACATGAGCTGACAGAGGTTTCTGAGGAGCAGGACTGCCACTCCTGGCCATGATTTGTAGTTTCTCAGGGTTAGCTGTCATGCAGGTTGTAGTAATGATGTGCTCTCTTATGATTCAGAATGAGGATGTTGTTTAGGGCATGTCATTAAACTGAGCCCTAAGTGGAAGCTGCCAAGAGGGAAGGATGTTGTCAGAAAATTAATTGTAAAATACTTCCTGTCTCATGCTCGTTCTCATATTTCTACTAGATTGTCATAGTAGGGGAAGAGAAATAGCAATTGAGACCTGAAGTGAGCATGACTAATAGCCTGAGGATGGCTCTGATTGGAAGGAAGATAAAAGACTATAGCAAGAGATCAAAGTTAACAATGCTTATCAGTTTGCAAACATGTATAGTAGTCATTAAGATTAGCCTTTGGTGCCTGGAAAGGAAAGAAACCCAAAAAAATGACTGTTATAGAGGAGCTCTGTAGCCAAATTGAACTCTTAGATACCTGCAAGGAGATGCCCTGTGGAAAGTCTATTTTCTCAGTCTGCATAGGAGATGTTATTCATCATATTATTGGATTAATGTGTTAAGGAGGTGTGTCTCTGTGTGTGTTGGAAGCATTTCTTCGCCTCCACACCCCCTTATCAGGTGATGTGGAAAGAACCAAGCTCTAGTAGTCATAACAAGCATACTGAGAAAACTCAAGAAATTCAGGCTGTTAAACCAATTAAAACAAAAGAGCACATAGTCCATCTGTAGCCTTGTCACCTTTTTCTACTCGCTGGCATTGCCTCCTGTTATTAAAAGTTGTGGAAAAAAATTTGTAAGACTTAACTGAGATGGAAGTTAAAATTGGACTTTCAAATATCAGCTTCTTTATCACCTGAATTTAACAAGGAGGCAGAAAGTGACACAAATGAGTAACTTTACAAATGACATAGCTAGAACAAAAGAGCTGGATACTGTACGTTTTCATTAGTGTCCTGAATGCTAGGCAGCAAGAGACCTTATCTTCCAAGTGGGAAGCTGTAGGTGGTTCTTAAACAGATGTTTAAGTGAAGTGGTTTTCACTTTTGGAACTGAGTGAAAGAAATATTAACTAAATCTAAATACTTACTGTATTAGGCCCAGACATTAGTGCTTTGGAAAAAATAGCTGTTTATACCTGGTATCCACTAGTTCAGCTTGTTTGCAAGAGTTACTGATTTTAGGGGGTTTTAACTAGCATAGACGAAGTTCTGCAAAGTTAATTCTGTTACAGAATTATTAGTGAAGGATTAAGGGAGCTTTCTGGTTTGGCCTTTCACAGCTCTGACACACACAACTTGAAAAAGTAGAATACTAAAATACGTGCAGGAGTTCAACCTTTCCAGCCAGGTCAGAAAGTGAAGAATCTAATCACTGGGAGTTACCTGCCTTCAGGGTTTTTGCATTTGCACCTGCAGCATGTAGGAAAGAATGAGAGAAGCCAGCAGAGCTGTGATTGGTATGAGTAGCTTTGGGTTTGGAGCCTAAGAGTACTGTGGTATAGCAGATGTTACCATAGAAGAGATACACAACTCTAATTAATGGGGTTCAGTGTGTTTTAGCTCATTATGTGCAAGTCTTTCAAACCTCCAAGGAATTCCTAGCAGTAGGTTAGAGGTGAAACAATAAAGCAAGTGCTATTGTGCTTCTGGCCGTCTGGGTCTCAGCTGTGCCTGGCACTGGGCAAGGGTGGCAGGCAGGTGAGCAGGCACTTAATGAAAAACAAGTGAAAATATGACACAAAATCACCTGTGTAGGCCAGTGTAGGAGGTGTTTGTATTAAGAGGACACATTATCCAGTGTCTTATCTGTATGGAGATCAGTGACAAGTAGTGATCCCCAGGGGTCTCTGCTGGCACCAGTACTGCTGAATATCTTCATCAACAACACAGACAGTGGGACTGAGTGCAGCCTCAGCAAACTTGCAGACAACACCAAGCTGAATGGTGTGGTTTACATGCCCGAGGGACCTGGACAAGCTGGAGAAGTGGGTCCGTGGGAACCTCCAAAGGCTCAGTAAGGCTAAGTGCAAAGTCCAGCACCTGGGTCAGGACAAGCCCAGATGAGAGGCTGGACATGAGTTGTTGATGTGTACTTGCAGCCCGGAAAGCCAACTGTCCTGGGCTGCATCAAAAGCAGTGTGACCAGCAGGCTGAGGGAGGTGATTCTGTCCCTCTGCTCTGGTGAGACTTTGCCTGGCGTACAGCCTCCAGCTCTGGGGTCCTTAGCACAGGAAAGATGTGGACGTGTGGCTTTTATGTGTGCTCTTCCCTGAATGATGTTGCCAGTAGCAGAACCAGTGCATTGGTAAGTTCTGTGGAGGTACTGAATAGTTGTACAGAGAAAGTAAGAATTAAGGATGATGATACGAATTTCAACTTAACACTTCCTGTTTTTTCAGTAGGTCGGTGACATGTAAGCTGAATTTTGGGAGCTAAAAGAGAAAAGTATCAGGGCTTGGAGACTGAAGTTCCTTTAATAAAGTCATTTTCTGCAGTTTGCTTACCTCTGTGATTTTTTTCTTAAGTTGATGATGGTTTTTTAATATTTTTTTTTCTTTTGCTTTTTCTTAAAAAGCCTTCTAATGGGATTTTAGGCAGTACTGCTTCATAGGCTCTAGCATGAGATGGTGTTTAGTTGTCACACAGGTAAGAATGTATACTCTCCAGTATGAAATGTTAAGGACAGTCATCTGTATACTTAGGTCGCAATGGCCACTGATGAGAGAACTGAGGCACCACAGGTAGAATAACCTGGTAATAATAATAAGACCTTAAGCACACTGCTAATCTACAAGTAGAGTTCAGACCTCTTCAGCAGCAGCTCAGTAAGGTGGATCTTTGATTTCCCTTTTTCTGTTAAGCTGCACAGTGTTTTGCAAAGGGTTTGAGTGAGCAATGGTACTATTTGTCTGCATATTGGAGCCTTGTGTGGTGCTGGCAATGTCAGTAACAGACATAAGGTGTGTGGTTTGATGAATAAATTGTGCAATACTTAAAATAACTTCTAACTGGTAGTTTTACAAAAGTATGAGCTTTCCAGTGCTTCCAGTTCTTTCTTACCCTAAACTTCCCATTAAATCTGTCAAAGTTTTTAATGCATAAAGTTCCTTGATTCCTTCTACTGGAGTACAGTGATCAGTATAAGTGTTTGTTCTGTGTGGACCAAGCTGTTCCCTTTCACTTTGCTCACCAACACATATCTCTGATAACACTTTCATATCCTGTCCTCAGCTTTCATGTCCTCTCTATCTGCCCTTTAATTCAGCCTGCCTCTGCCTCACATAAAGATAGTGTGTTCCTTACTTCTGTTACCTGATATTCTAGAGGGTTATTTGCTTTCTGCCTTTTTTTTTAAAAGAGAAGCTCAAATGGAAAGAAATAAGTGAATTTCTACGGATGACAACACAATGTTCTATCATCTACCCAAAAAGAGTTTCTGTAAAGAGCAGTTGTCCCACTATAGCTGCCTAATCTCATTCTCAGTCTTTGTTCTTCGCATTTACATCTATTTTTAAACCAATTTTGGACCCTTTGGCTTGCTTTCCAGATTTTAACAGGTAGTCTGTTCATGTCTTGTGTCTAGAAAATTCTAGGATGACTTCTGTTAACTGTCTCTCTGATAGCTCCATTGGCTACTTCTTGCTGTTATATGATACGAAGCATGTATTTCCTAGATATGTTGATTAAAAACGCTCTCAGTTTAGTATAACTGGAATATATGGTGTTCTGATATGGCTACAAGAATACATGGGAAAACCTAATTAAATTGTAGGTCAGGATATGTATTTAGGTACATTTTAGAAGAATCCAATTTTGATGTTTACTAATTTGCAAAGTTCTTAACATAGGTGAGTTTTGACTGCAAAAGATATATATACATATATACATGTATGTGTGTATGTTTGTTTATTTAGGCATTGCTCACTGCAGTAACTTCTCAACACATAGAAATCCACGAAGGAACAGTGCTACAGGCTGTAAGAACATGTTACAATATCTACCTAGCAAGCAAAAATCTTATAAATCAAACCACAGCCAAGGCCACTCTAACACAAATGCTGAATGTCATTTTTGCACGCATGGAAAATCAAGCAGTGAGTATCTTGGTATCTTTATCTAGAAAGTAGCTCATGAAATTAAACCAGCTTGAGAGATTTGTTTAGTCATTATTTTTAAAGCTTTTTGGCTTTGGGAAAAAAATAATCTGGTATCTTACGTTGTTCTTTTTGTGTTTTGCGCTCTGAAATAGGTGTGAAATGTATTTTTTGGGGATGGTGTGTAGGATTTAAACTCCTCATAGTGGTCCTCTGTACTTAATGAGTGTCTTCAGTGTCTGTTGTCAAGCTCCCAGGAGATGCCACACTACCTGCATATGAGTATATGAAGTACATCAGTGTTAGTGAAATGCTCCAGGGTTGTTGTGATGATAAACACTGAAGAAGTAATCCATGTGCAAAATAAAATAAAACCAAACAAACTAAACCCCCACCCCTCCAATCAAGCAAAAAAAGTCATGTAATTATGTACATTTGTTAGCATTTTAGTTTGTAGTAGCCACTAACAGATACTTCTGTCACTGAAACTGCTGCTGTGAATTGTGAGCAGGGACTTCAGCATATGCCATGACTTCTACTGCTGATAGTAAAGATCAGTAAGGCAAAGTAATTGTCCTAATTTCTATTTTAAAGAAATAAAAAGCAATCAAAACCCAAGTAAGCAAAAAAACACATGCCCAGATTTGAGAACTGGTTGAATTCTTAGCTACTTCTAGAAGTAATTTTGCTGTATTATTGAAAACTCTTAAGTTTGTAGTACTTCCTTAATTTCCCTGCAGAAGCAACTGCATATTGGTATGTGGTGCCATCATAGTTGAAGCTTTATGAGACATCCTATTTATAATAAGTTGTGGCAAGAGCCATGCAGCACCTGAGTACTTTGGGAAACCTGTGTAGTTACTGTCCTTCTAAGCAACTTAATATAGAAGAGAATTAGTGTTCTATAACAGAAGCCTTCGTTTTTGCCAGACTGAAGTCTAGTCTTAAGCAATCCTACTCGTTTTGCACACTCAGGGCAGTTATTTTAGTATTATTTAGTTAGTTAGTATGATATCTGACAAATGCTACTAGGAATTGTTTGAGGTGTAATTTGAAAGGCAGTGTCTTACTCGGCATCTGTGGCACCTCAGCAGATGGAGTGTAGCAATCTTTAAGTGGAAAATACTAAAAAGACAAGATCCTAGTATCCAAAATAACAGTATAAAAAGTTCCAAAACTCTGGGTAAATGCTAGACTCTGGTAAGATCGAAAGGCAGTCTTTAGAGCATCACCTCAAATGACATCCTGCTTTGGTTTGACTTTAATATATGTTGTCACAGAAGTTCTACTCTTTCTGGGGACTGCAGATCAAGGGACCACAAAAAAAAAAGGCTGCCTTGATGCTCTTCCATGCAGACCTTGTTTATTGTCACATCTAATGCCTGGTATTCCTTATAGGGCAGGCAGACAACTCTTCATCCTGTACATCCTGTAGCATAGGTAGTTTAGTCATCCCTTTTCCACAGTGAAGGTATGGTTAAGTGTAATGTGCATAGTTGGGAAGCAGCCCTCTTGCAATGGATTATCCCATGATATTAAAATTATTTATAATTAAGATGCATTTTCTTTAACTGTTACAGCTTTAGGAAGGCACTGTGTAAGCAGAGACAATAGAGATGTCATGTTTGTAATAGAATGTCTACAACTTATTGTTATATTTTGATAGTGAAGTTCTTGTGCTTGCAATGCTTTTGTAGCTTCAGGAAGCCAAACAGATGGAAAAGGAAAGGCACAGACAGCAACACCATCTACAGCAGTCTCCAGTAAGCCATCACGAGCCTGAATCACCTCAGTTGAGACATATTCCAGCACAGACTGATCAGCTGGCCAAAGAACATGAGAGAGAGCTTGACCACAGCACAAATGATGTGGACAAGAACCTACAAGAAGATATTGAGGCAGAAAATGGATCTGACATATCTAGTGCTGAAAATGAACAGACAGAAGCTGACCAAGCCACAGCAGCAGAAAGTAATCAGTGTGTATTTCTGTTTCATGGAGGGAGGGAAAAGGTCTGTAAAAAGAAAGGCTTGAGGATTGTCTTTTTCACTCTCTTTCAAATCTGGATTCAGGCATATATTTTCAAGTAGCCGACTAACGCAAAATGCCTGTTGTCCTTGTTACCACTGTTAAACTTCATGAGTATCCTTTAGTCCTACACTCTGTTGTTGTCACTGTAGCAAAGATTCCTCTTTGCATCTATGTAATGTTGTGAAATTTTTTGAGAATAGCTTCTCAAAGCCATTAGGTTTTCAGCATTTTGTATACGCAAAATTAATGTCTTTTGTTGGCATAGGCCTGCAGGTTAATTACAATTTACAGGTGTAACACCAGAATTCTTACATTTTGCAAGTAACTATTTTTGAAGCATCCAAACATGTCTTTTTAAATGTATACTCTCCTATTAATAGATATTTAATTGAATTTTCAGAGTTTCTCGTTAATACTTGTTTATGTTTGTTTTTCTTTATTAAGATCTTTCTAAAGCTGATGGAGGAGCATATGATGGTGAAAGCAATGAGTGTGAAGAGAAGGCACAAGAAATTGTAGAAAGTATTGTGCAGGAAATGGTGAACATAGTAGTTGGAGGTATTATATTAATATTTGTCTAGTCAATAGTGGCTGCAGTCTGAATCTTGACATTCATAGTTACTTCAACATTTCCAAATATTTTAAGTGAAATATGTAATTATTCAAATATGACTTACATGCTGAAGAAAACAGTTTCAATTGTCTGACCTTTGCTGTGTATTATTTAACAGTAAAATGGACAACATTTTGCACACTGATTTATGCTCTTTATATTGGAAACAAAAGTTCTTCTAAAATACAAATTCTTGTTCCTTTTTTTTCCTGTTTTGTTTCTATGTAAACTCTTCAGAAATGGGCCCCTCTCTGTAACAGCAGTGTATCGCTACACTTTTCAGTTTGTGGGAAATTGTATGTCAAATGAGCAAGGGATTTCCCCCCTCCAGTACTACTTGGAAACATGGTAGAATGGTGACCCTGACAACATAAAATACATTTTTTAATTGTAATTTTCATTAGAGGAAATTAAGAGTATTTGCAATTTATATAGTTCTATAATGCCATGTAAGTTCTGTCTTAAGCTCCTCCTTGTGATCCTTTGCTGGTGATTGTTTTGGTATTTAAATGTTGGTTTTAAAATCTCTTTTCAGTCTCACATAACACTTGTTAATAATTTTTACCTCTTTTCTGATAGATGTAGAAGGGACTGCTGAGAGTGCAGGTGGTGATGGCACAATTGTAACGTTAGAGGATGGCAGTGACAGTGAAAACATTCAGGCAAATGGCATTCCAGGCACTCCAATTTCTGTTGCTTATACACCATCTTTACCTGATGACAGATTATCTGTCTCTTCCAACGATACTCAGGTACAGGCAGTTATAAATTAGGAAATACTGGAAAAAATTAATGTTATAAGTGTTGCCCAAAGCTTGTGCAGAATGTTTAATATAATTGCCTAAAGTAAATTACTTCGATGAATTTCAAGTGTAAAGTCATATTTTAAGCATTATTCTATTTAAATGCACTATTTGACTAAATTTTTCTAAGTAAATTTTGCATGTGGTGTCTTCTTTTATCCAGGCATATTTTTAGCTACCCCATAAGAGTACCCTGTGCCAAGATTAGAGAACTCAGTTCTGTGTTTTGCGAAATGATCCTGAGAAACTATAAAACTAGCATTTAATGTATATAGTGAGGAATATCACTAGTTATAGTCATACATGTGTAATTTTAGTGTGTGCATGACCTGTTGCAGTGATTTCAGATAGAATTTTGTGTCTGAGAGGATTTGATCTTCATTAGCAAAATAGATGCGAAAATATACTCCCTCTGTTGTATCAGATGTGGACATGTATACATTGCCAACTAACCAAGCGTATCTGCTGTCAGAGGGTACTGAGTAACTAGGTTTGGGAATAATGGATTTTAAGTTTAAAAAGTTATGGTCACATAGGCCATACAAGTAGAAGGTAAACATTAAACATGTTGGTTTTATATGGAAGAATAATTCAGAATTGCAAGAATTTAGTAATAGGAGAGTTTATTGTACCATAGAGAAATTGTACCACATGTATCTGGCAACAGATCTGTAACTACTCACATTCTATTAAAATGTCCAGTGTTCGGGTTTTTTTTAAACTAGTTATCTACTGAAAATGCCTGAAGGCAGCTCACTGGAAATTACCCTACTTAAACTTGACCTACCTAATTTCATGACAGTCTTTTTAATTAATTCTGACTTGTTACTGAGATGGCAGTTTTTGTTAGTGAGTGTGTTCATTTTAACTGGACTGCAGAATGTTTTGTTTTAGTCTTGAGACCATAAAGCTATAGTGAACTGGTTATATTTGTATAATATGTTAACTTCTTGTTGCTAGGAGGTGGGGATTTCCCTAC